ACCTCTTTTGTTTCACTTTTTTCCACTGTCTTTCCTCCTCCCACCAGACAGCACTGAAGAGTGTCACCTTTTTGATAACTTGTAGATACTGGGAGGCTGCTCTTAAGTGTTGCCCCCACAAGCTGTCTTTGCTCCAAGCTGAACACACCTCAGTACCTTAGGTGCTCTAGCCCTCAGCCACTGCAGTGACCCTGTGCTCAACTCATTCTGTTTTTTTGATATCTTTCCTGGTGGATACTAAGCTTGCACAGTAGTCTAGATACAGTCTAAGGACTGATGAATAGAAGGGAATCCTTCCATCAGTAGCAGAATCTCCTAGCTGTGTTTCTTCTTGTACCACCCAGGAGTCTGTTGTCCTTCCCTGCTGTCAGGGTACAGTGCTGGCTTACATTTGGCAAGGAGTGCAGAAAGAGCATTTCTGCCACTGGCAGTACAGCAAACACAGCCAGCTCTGCCACAAGCCCAGGATCCTCAGGCATGTCCTCTTTCTCCGTGCAGTAGTTGAGCTGGGGCAGAATTTGAAGATTTTAATAAGCCTTTCTACAACCCCTGCTGCAGCAACCTTTGCTGCCATACATCCAGAAGTTCCTAGCACTTCATCTGCAGCAGTTGTGTCTTCAATGTGTGCTGACCAATTCTCCAACCATGTTCAGTGACTAAGAAGCGTCAGACTTGGTGCACAGCTCCAGTGTACCGCTAACACTACAGAAGAACCATATAGTAGCAAATCTGTGCAACAAATAAACATATATTTATCTCATGAACACCCCAAAAGAAATACAGTAACTATAGATGTTAGCAAAATGATCTGTATGGAAAGGGTAAGGGATGGCCTGCTTGTCAAAGGTCTGATACATAGCAAATATTGTGGCATCCACAACTGTCTTTTAAGTAATTGATTGTCATCAAGAGTGGAGAGATTGATGTCTTTTTCATCAACTCTAACATACAAGTTATTACACAGTGCTGAGTGGTCACAACCCCACTGGGAACCAACATCTTGCAAAATTGCTCATTATTCTCTTGAGCATGAAAAACCTCAGCCAGAAGAGATTAATCAAACTTGCACACCTGGCTTCACACAGTTTGTGTCTTTTCGGTTATGAGTGCTTTGTGCAATGATTTAATACTCTGGTAATGTTTCACTGAGAAGACACATCATAGATTCCTTGTTCTTACTTCCCCTGTCCAGCTTCTTACTCATCTACTGATGCCCACATCTGATGTATATTCTGTGCAGGAGACAATAATTGTTACTACCCCTGGTTAATAAATCATGTACATTGTGAAACTAAAACAGAGGAAAGAACTGTAAAATTCGGTCACCTCACTCTTACATGCAGGGAGAAGTTTTTCTGTCCTTTAGTGTAGATGATGGTAGCACAGTTTCCAACAGCATGCCCAGAGCCCATGGATTTGGGCAAGGCCCCACTTGTTCAGCGTAGTCACTGATGAGACCACATATTATAATTTGCAGTACCAAGGTCTCCATTACTGGTGTCAATGAAGATACAGTTACATTTCTCAGCAAATGGACTGAACTGTCTTCCCATTATAGTCATTCTCCTTTTATAACATTTTATTTAAACAAAGTAGAATTCTCCTGAAGGTGAAGGGCAGACAAGTAGACTTAATGCCTCTGGTCATTTCCAAGAGTCTGTTTTGGTATTAGGACCATATTCAGACAAGCTCCAGAACCTGGGTGTAACACATTCAGCCTGAATGAGGACATTAAAAATAAAAAGCAAGATTTTGGGCAGGTGTTCAGTGGAGCCACCCAGAACTGGTACCATTGAAAACATGTTGATGTGAAGCATTTGTTTAAGTGGGAACTGAAGGTCCATACCTTTCTTGTGCAGAGTCAAACCAGAGTGTGTGCATCTGATTCATGATGGAACAATATGGCTGCTCAGGATAATTAAGCCAGACTCATTCTCCTGTGCAATTCCAGAGCTGCAGTGCCTGTGCCACAGCTCTACTGCATGAATACTTGCATGAGAAAATAAATTTTCACCGTATTTAGAAGAAGGAAGGATTCCTTTTTGCTTTATACCTGAACTATTTGCCTTGTCACGCTCACTTCCAGCATACAATATTGCTCTGATCTTCATGACCACAAAAAGCAGAAAACCCAAATGATACTTCCAGTTATTCTTTTGTCAAATAACAGAGGTGCCTGCAGTTGGAATCTCTTTGAATTCACTATTAAGGATGGCTGCCACAGAGTGATGGGGCATCCAGGCACAGGCACTGTCAAATGAAGACTTTATTTGAGATACTGCAGAAAAGGATATTAAACCAACCTGTATTTATCAAAAGGGAAGTGTAGATCTCAGTGTAGTCTTTGTAATTCAGGACAAGCTCTAAAAGTAAAATTGCCTGAAGCATAAATGTGTGAAAAAACCCACTTTTTTTACTACAAATCCCATAGAAGCTTTATTCTCAGGGCTCTATACAATTTACTCTTTTTGTTATTTACCTTTAATTAAAGTGTGTGTTCTTTTATGCAAGATACACAGAGAAAATGTATGCAAATAACATGTTTGTAAGAAAAACAAGGTGACTTCAAGACCTTTGTGTGCTTGAATAGAAAATCCTGAATGTGGTTTGGTTTGGTTTGTTGGGGTTTTTTGGCCTTGGTAGAGCCATCAGAAGAATTTTTGCCTGCAAGAGCCAACATGTTAAGTGGATTTATATTACATTGAAAGGCAAAAGACTTGGATTCTACTCTCTATAGCTCTTCCACTCTGCAATGTGGAAAGGCCACTTTTTCTCCATGTCCCTACATCATGGTGTAACCCCAGCCAGCAGCCAAGCCCCACTCACTCACTCCCCCACCAGTGGGATCAGGGAGAGAATCAGAAGGGTAACAGTGAGAAAATGAATGAGTTGAGATAAAGACAGTTCAGTAGGGAAAGCAAAAGCCATGCACACAAGCAAAGCAAAACAAGGAATTAGTTCACTGGTTCCCATGGAAAGGCAGGTGTTCAGGCATCTCCAGGAGGGCAGGGCCCCATCACATGTAATGGCTCCTTGGGAAGACAAACACCACCACTCCAAACATCCCCCCCTTCCTCCTTCTTACCTTCACTTTATGTGCTGATTCCAGACCATATGATGCCATATGGTCTGGAACCTCCCTTTGCTCACTTAGGATCACCTGTCCTGGCTTCCCATGCATCCCAGGTTTCCTCCACTGTGTTGCAGTACAAAAGGCAGAAAAGTCATTGGCTCTGTGCAAGCCCTGCTCAGCAATAGCAAAAACATCTCTATATTATCAACTCAAACTTTGTTCAGCACAAATACAAAACAGCCCCATACGAGACACTGTGAACACAATTAACTCTACCCCACCCAAAACCAGTGCACAGTATTTCATCTTTGCACTCCCTTGAACCCCTCTGTGTTGTTAGCCTATAAACACTCTGGAGGGAGGAAAGGCTTACACTGTCAATGTGTTGTTCCTAGCATAGGAAAACCACTAATATCAAGTGGATGCTGTGGAAGATGTGACTAGCACTAAATAACTCAAGAGACATATCTGAACTTAGTTCATGGTCTTTTTTCACCTTACAATCTGTAATCATTTTCAAGACGTGTTACTGCTTCCTAGTCCTGATATCAACCTTGTGTACCCTGGCTATTAGATATGGATAGAAGTCCAGGCAATACCCAGAGCAAGCCACGAAGAAGGAAAGAATGAAGGGAATGAAGGGAAGGATAGTTTAAACCAAAAAGAACCAGTTTGTGTAGTCTGGAAAAGGACTATAGAAATCTGATAGCATTCAGAATAGTGATGACCTTTGGAGAGCAGCATCTAACTCCCAAGCTTCTTCAGGTCAAAAGAAGATTCTGGCCCTGCAATTCCCTTACCATGTTGTAGCAAGAGGAGTGGACAGAAGCAGCAAGAGACCAAAGGTCATGCAAGCCTCACCCACAGAGCTATAGTGCGGAGACAAATATGTGCAGTGTTTCAGACTATAAAGGGCCCGGCCTTCCTCCTAGGGACAAACAGAAATGTTGATCACAATGTATATATGTTCTCTCTCTTTCACTCTTAGCTTGGTTTGTGACCATTTCCCCCATCCAGCTTGGCAACTACTAGCCCTCATGTTACTTCTTTTCCCTTCAGAAAATGTTTCACAATGCAACTCCAAAAATCTCCATTCTGCAGTTGAGTTCTGGAAGTGAGGTTTGCTTGTGGACCTCTCACTGATTTCTCATTGAAGTCAGTGAAGTCTTTTCCTGGCTGATCAACTACGGGTTTCAGTGAATATATTATATAGAGTTAAAAAGGTAAAATTCAGTGCTTGAGTCAGTAGAAAAATGCCTGCCACTTCTGTAAAAGAATTCATTAGTCCTAACAATCTAGTGCCCTTTAACTTTTCTCCTCATGTATCCTCCATTTTTCCAAACCTGTCCTGTTTAGTATTCAAACGTTATTTCTTTTCTCTTTTGCCCTACAATGTAATTTTTTACACAAGATGTTTTGCACATCACAAAGGTGTAAGAAGTGTGACTTGTAGTAATTGTACTGCAGTGGCTGAGATGGATCAGGAATCCCTGAGCTTTTGCTCTGGCAGTGATGGTGGTGAGTCATCCTGTAACTTCAGACACTGAATTGCTCTCATCCTAATTGCTCTCCCCCTATTTGTGTTCCTGTTGAGTGGAAGAAGTTGCATCTACCTCACAGGGCTATTTTGGAGGATTAGGGCTTTAAAGTGTGCCACAAGCCTTGTTAAGTATTACTTAATGTGCTTATTAAGGGGCATGCACAGCCCTGGGATGTTTTTTTGTGGGACTCAGGAGTGCTGCAAAACAACAGTGTTTTTTCTGGAGACCGTGCCGAGCATACAGTAGGAGCTGTCTGTCACAACAGGGAAGGTGTGCACTCTCCTGTGTTGAGTAGCAACCTCAGTACATGCTCACCCAGGCAGATACTCTCATCTCCTTCTTACTGACATGAAAATTAACACCAGTGCTCTCTTTCTTTCTTTCAGATCCTGGCGCTCCTGTGAAACTGCCTTGTATGCCAGTTAAACTGTCACCTCCACTACCTCCAAAGAAAGTCATGATTTGCATGCCTTTAGGGGGGCCAGACCTCTCTCTCTCATCCTATTCCACGCAGAAGAGCTCCCAGCAGCCTTTGACCCAGCAGCATCACACTGTCCTGCCATCCCAGTTAGCAGCTCACCAGCACCAGCTCCAGTACGGCAGCCACAGCCAGCACCTTCCTTCTGGGTCCAGCACGTTGCCCATTCACCCTTCAGGGTGCCGGATGATCGAGGAACTGAACAAAACACTAGCCATGACCATGCACAGGCTAGAAAGGTAATGGATCAACTTTTAACATTCCATACTGGTGTGCACTGTCTCCTGCTAACCTCAGCATCCTCAGCATCAAGCATATCATCGCTTGAGTTACCTTCGTAGGACTTGAATGAGGTGTCTCCTCTGGGGTCTAACAACTTCAGGGCAGAGTCATTTCTGGAGAAACAGAGGCAGAGGAAGAGCCTTTCCAGACTTGTTTGACAAGTTTGTGGCAGAAAGGAAACAAAGACCAAATTTCCTGAACCCCGTTGTCCTGTTCAAGGAAGTAGATAATACAGGAATGGAGATTTTAAAGGACATGCCTGGCTTGCAGTATGTACTGCTGAGGCAAAACTGCAGAGCTCCAGTTGTGTGGAGGATTGCTAAATGCAAGGAGAGGAAGATTCATAAAAGAGTAATTAGAATTCAATGCGCCACTCCAGCAGGGCGTCTGATTAGTATTAGCAATTAGCTCGAAACAATCTATGTGGACTTCCTACACTTAGAAGGGTTTTAATACAGTATTTAGATTACTTAAATTAATTTAAATTAAATTATGTGTTTGATCTTAAAATAAGTATTTAACTCATTCCACAGCAGCTACCTTCTTAGCTATTTGCATCTGGCAAGAGGTAGAACATTTGATCAGAAATGCCTTACCCACCTTGCGGCTGTTTTTTGTTATTGTCACTTATGAGTATCACTGAGTGTTTCTCCAAGTAGTCTGAGTAAGTGAAGCATGTTGTATAAATGCAAGCTGCCCTCACAGACTGCAACATCAGCAAGCTTTGGAAAATTTATTTCACGTTGTAGAGGAAAGCTGAAAAAGTCCCAGAACAGGGAAGATGGATGAAAAATTACATGTTTTATTTAGTACCAAGGACAGCTTTGTAGCCAGCTTGTTCTAGGAGCATCAGATCATCCTGTTATACAGGAAGGCAAAATATTTGGTCTAACAGACAAAATGCTTAATGATTTACCCCATTACTTCTGTCTGATAACACCACCTTCATTATATTCCATACCTGGAAACAACTGGATTATTGATGGCAGTTTCTCCTTACTGCCTGAAAAAGAGTCAGGAGACCAGAGGTTGTCTCACACTGCCAGCTTATTTTAGTACCAGAACAGAGACACATCTGTGATTACATCATGGGGCTAATGTTTCTACAGCATGGGGGAATTCTCAGCTGGGGATAAACTACTAGGGCTATGAAGGAGATTCTTATTCCTGTCTGTGAAAGAGCTGTAGAGGTAGGATAGAAAGAGCATCCACATTGTCCCCTACTGCCCTACCCAGTGACTACCCATTTACCTCTCACATTGCCAGCATGGCTGGTCTGGTGTCTCTACACCATCCCAAAATTCAGTGCACCAGGCACAGTGCATAGCTGTTGTCTGCCGAAGGCTCCTTTGGGGCTGCACTGCCCATGCCATCCCCAGCTTAGGCTGGATGTCCTAATGTCTGGCTCACACTGTGTGCAGAAGGCCCTTTGTTTTCCTGAGCCCAGTGACATCTCTCAGAGTATGACTTCATTGTGGCATCTGTTGCCCCACAGCAATGAATGCTCCAGTTTCTAGTCATCCATCATGTTTATGTCTACAAATATGTTTAAGTGATTTAAAGAAGGTGATGCTGTTTAGGTTTAACTGTTAATTTGAAGCTGAAGCTCTGCTGCTTGTTAAAACCTGAATAAGCAAGCATCCATGTCCCATTGTGAAGCAATTGTTTCCCTTTGCAATTAATAAGAAGAAAATAAGAAAAGGTTGTGGTATACTGATATTTCACATTTAAAATTAATACAAATCCTAGTTCATGTTAATGCAGACAGATTTTTCATAGCCTTTTATATGTTGATTAACTGTTAGTTAAATCATGGATTAATATATTGAGTACTTTCTTTGTGCTCCTTGTCAAAGCAAATCAATAACTTCTGCATTCACAAGGGAGAAAATAGGTCATCATCATTTCCTCTGCAACAGCAATTGTTGTTTTTGTAGTATATAGAGGTAAAAGTATGTCAAACCATTTACAGTTCTGTGGAGCAGATCTTGCTCTTAAATTCTTCATTTGCTTTTTTCAAGCCACATTGTGATCTAGATAAATTTGCCAAGTTTGCTTGAAGATTTGTGCAGATTTTTAAAATATATTTATTTAACTTGGGAGGCAATTATTTGCACCAAATGCCACTGTATTCTACTATTTTCGACAGTACTTACTTTCCCTTCTTGTAAAAATCTGCATTAAACCCCAGAGAAATAATACTGAAGCATTTGTCATTGCACACTTCAGCCCAAAACTCTTGAGGGCCTGTTAAAACTGCAAAGATCCTAGATCTCCTTCCTCTGTTCAGAGCTTGGTAGTGTGCTCACATCTGTAGCATGCACAGGACATGGACTGACATTCTGCACTTTGCTGCTCCTTGCAACTTAGCAAAGTACTGGGCCAATACTGTTGGGTCAATAAACCTGAGGAGATGAGAGAGCCTGATAAGTCTCTGAGGCAGCCTCTGGTGAATACTAAGGGGTTTTTCCTTCTGATCTCAGACATTATCTCAAAAGTATCTTACGACTTTACAGAATAATTGCCATGGTGCTGCAGTAATAATGCTGACATATCTGGTAATTTGGGGGATTTTTTAGAATAGTGTTTTGATTTTAATAAGAGATTATCATATAGACAAGCACATATAGACATAGCATCATATAGACAAGATCAAGTTTCAGCTCTAATTTTTTTCATTTCCTTCTGGAATTTTTCCTTTTCTTCCTTGTATCTAGTTTCTTTGGTCCTGGTGCAGTGGAAGCTCCTCAAGGTCATTTTTAGGCTCTAACAATATTTGGTGAATAAGTTTGTATCAAATTCACATTTTGTCCAGTAAACTTTTCTTAAACCTTACAACTCTCCTGTTCACCAGGTGTCTGAGTGTGCACATGAACAAAAAATGAAGGGCTAAAATCTTCCCATCCTCTGGCAATCTGGACTTTTTGCTTACACAGATAAGATCTCTGGAATTCAGATAGTCTAACAACATCTGAAGAATGATAGTTGAAATCAGTGCTTTGCCAGTGAGCCACAGGCTTGCCAGAGAAAAATGAGCTTTCCCTCTGTACAGACCTGGAAGCCAGATTTTTCTGTCTTTGACCTTGAGAAAGTTACTGAGTCTCTCTATCTCTATTTTCCCCTCTGCAGGAGTGATTACATGTAGCTGCCTTACCTAGATCTAGTGCATATTAATAAGTTCATGTCTTAAGGTACATTAAAAGGCATGCAATAGCTATTCAAGTCCCAGTTGTTCTTATGACTTAAAATGGGAGCTAATTCCTGGATTTTTTTAAATTAAATTTTATTACAGACATTATAGAACATTTAAGTTCATTTGTGCACTTAACGCTTTTGATTGCAAACATTTTCTGGTACTCATAATGTCTATTCATAACCTATTCTCAGGAGGGCAATCTGCCTCTTGTCATAGTATGACTATTATGACATGTCATTTCTGCTGCCAGTTTGCCTCTATTTTCCCTGATAAATTACCAGTTTTATGGTAGATAAAGTTGAAACAGAGAAATGTGTAATTTCCATGTAAGCTTTTTTCTGCCATCTCTGTTGCTAATTTGTGTCTCACTGCAAATGACTTTCCCCTTCACAAAGGGTGTTTGTCAAGCATAAGTAAAACTCTAGATTTGGACATCATTTTTTACCATTGCATTTTGAGAGTTGATGAAAATCTGGTAAGCTCTGCCACCAAAATATGCAGATTTCATCCTCCTAACCAAAATGAATTTGAGAAGAAAGACCATGCCCCAAAGCCGTGCATCACAAAGAGTGGCTAAGGAAGTTTTAGAGACTCTCTTGTGACACCAAAATGTGTCTTTAATTTTGACTTAGTGAGGCAGTTTTTTTATCTGAAACAGCCAGATTTTCTGCATTGCCTGTAGAATTCTCAGCCTGTCTGGAAAGGTGACAATTAATTTCATTTACTCTGTGGGCTCATGTACAGGAGCAGGCACAGATGAATCCACACCTCAGTTTGTTCAATGTATGTACTAAAGAGCTGTTAAGTGGCAATATCTCACTCCAGGCTAGAATTGCCTCTGTGGCAGAACAGTGAAAAATCACTGTGTCCAAAAAGACTGTGTGTGACACCAGTTCCTCTGGGACACCCAGCTCAGCTTCAGACTGTAGATTTATGAAATGAAATGCATTAGGCATTACCACCAGTGTCTTGTAAATCTTATGAAACATATTTGAATCAGAAAACATTAATCTTCCATAAAACTTGTCAAGAGAATTGCATCTTGTCTAAACTTTAGCATTGCCTAAGGATAGAAATACTTAATATTTATAGCTCTGCCTTCTCTCTGTTTCTCACACACATTCCTGTAGTAGAAATGTATATACAGTGGTTTGAAGTTCTTTCAGACCTTTTGTTTTAACTGGTAAGTACATAAAAGTACTGTGGATCTGAAAACATTCTGATAAAAATGTAATCCTCTATTCCAAAATCAAAGGGCCTGGCATGACAGACAAGAAGTGTGCAGGTTTTTCCCACTAGATTTTACAGGTAGTATTTCACTTATTTTCTTTTTTTTTATTTTGTCTGTACCATGAGTCACTCATATGCTTAAACTGTGATTTTTCATTGAAGTATTTTCTCACTAGAACCATTATAAGCTATAGTGGTGTAACTTTTTTTCTGTTTTCATCATATACAGATGATGCAGCAGAAACTGCAAGTTCTCGTACTAGGGAGCCATGAATTGTTCACATCCATGCGTTAAGATCTTCTTAAAACAAGTACTTGCTTAACTGTAGCTTTTCCCTCTAATTTTGTTGCAAAACACAAAACTGGATTAAAATGGGCTTTTTGAAACAATAATGTGCTTTTTAGTGAATAAAGCTAAATATTTTTGTGGTGTAGTCACCTGACTATGTGGGAGTTTGCTAATGACCCGGAGTCATTTTTACACAATGGACATATCCAGTGACCTTGATTTGTCTTTTTTAAGTATACTGCAGTACTGCATGTATTTCATAAGCACTTTGCTTAGACAGCTGACTTAGTCAAATTGCTGTGGAAAGGGCTGATTTTAATCAAGAACAACACAAAACACTAGGAAAAATGAGGGGCTTAAAATAGAAAGTAGTATTATCAAGAAAGGGGATGACTCAGAAAACTTACAATGAGATGAAAAGCTGCCTATTTCTAGATCACTAGTTCAAATAAAAACCGTCTGTGGTAACTTGTAAATCTTGTTGCCATCCTATATCTTCTCGATATCCTAAACTGATGGATCAGTTTGATATTTGCTACCCATAAGGGGACACACCCATAAGGATGCATCCATAAGCTATATCCATCCTTCACAGAACAGGGAAGCACCAAATAGTCCTGGATGCTGAACTACTTCTTGCTCCTTTCATTTGTGCTTACTCTCTGTGTATGTATTGTTTTAAAATTAAATGAATGATCCAGTGGTTGCATGGTGCAATTGGAAGGTTCTGGGTATTTTTTTAGCAATGTTAACAGAATTTCACAATATTACGGTTTCTCTCAGAAATTTGATTGCAGTCTTTTCCTTTCCTCTTTAAAAGACTTACTCAAAAATTAGCTTACAGAGAAAACAGATTTAATGAGGTTCATAATATAAAAGTTCTGAAAGCATTTCAGTAAATGAAAAGTTAGTTCAAACTTCTTAAAGACTGTAGTGTGTTGATGTGTCATTATGAGAATTCAGCTGACAAATTCTAAAACTGCATTTGGGATAAAGTTTTTTTGTGTCAAAATCATTGAAGTCTGTTATAAAAATTTGCAAGCCAGTTCTTCATGAATCTCTCTTACTTTGTGATACAAAGCATGGGCTATCACTAAGAAAATTGAGTTTCTATCTTCAAGGCATCTAGTAAAGCTCTGCATCTCATTATTGGTTAGTCTGCAATAATACATGTTGGAATTAAAAAATTATTTCTTTGAAGCTGAAGATGATGATAACAGCATGGTATGGTTTGTTCACAGGATCTGAAGCCTTTTCTTCTCTTTAATCCCTAAACATATTTGGAGTAGCATTATATCCCTAGAACTACATTTTTAAAATGGAATGTTATCTGGCAGCAATTTAAGAGCCCATTCTTCTAACTTTTGGGTTAGAAGAAAGCAAAATGTTTCAAGTTGAAAATAGTAGATTCGGTAGATTTCTGTAGAAAATCTTTTAAAGAGAAGAATGCATTTTGTTCAAGATGCAGAACACCTCTGGTATTCAGGCTGAAATATTCAAAGGAACTGATGGCACTCAATACTTGTCAGATACAAGTTTGTGTGCCTCAAGGTCAACTTGGCCAGTGCATCTGTTTTCACACCTATGTTCTTCTGAAAAGTAAAATGGGAGTTTGACATAGAGAGGGTGTCCCACAGGCAAATGTTGCCCACTTTTCATAGAGCTGTTGCATCAGCCAGGACTTCAGAGAGAGGGCAGTTTCTGCTGTCTCACAAATAATCTTGTGCTGCCACCATTTTTGCTTGCCAGTCTCTCATTCTGATTTCATACTGGAAAAGCAACATGAGCTAGATAAAAACTGGTTGGGAAACATGCTTCTGTTCCTGACTTTTCCTTTTTCTTTTTGTTTGACTTTGATGACTTTGATCTTCACCTCCTCATGTTCCCATTTCCCTACTTGATATGTTATTTGGTAAAGGGCTTTGAATTCAACACATAAACAAAGCTAAATAGTGGCAGTCCTCACCACAGATCTTAATCTTATAAGATGCTGAAAATAATCACTCATACCCGTGACAAAAGAAATATGATGTTAGCGCCGATTCTGATTGATCCTCAGTGCCTGGCTGGATAAAGAGCTGGGGCAGGACAAGGGATATCATCATGTCCACCCCATAATATATAACTGTGCCATTAACAAAAAAGCCCCCCAGGTTTTAGGTTCTTCCCTGGTTACTCTCACCTGCTCATTTGCAAAGTCTCATTTATCCAAGCCCAGTTTCACATGCTCGCTCCCCTGCACGTCAAAGAGTTGTGCGCTTGCCATCCCCTCAAGTCACTCATCACTAGTGCAAACCACTAGTTTTCCCTCTGTCTTTCTTCAATTATCTCCTACAGTCCATCCTTCCTTCCTCCCAGTCTTACTCCACCTGTTGCACTGAGGTGTGGTATTTTCTCCTTGCTGCCTGCAAACCAGCGGAAAGGTCACACAGACACCAGGCTAAAGGTGTGCTTACCACTGAGTAGCTGGTGCTTACTACTCTGAGTAGCAGCTGGTCACTAAGTATTTGCCACAAATCTTTAGTGCTTTGTCCTGGTTGACAGTATTTCTGCTTGCATGCTGTCCTAACTGTCCCTTTTAAGTGTTGTACCCTAAATCTAATAAGTACTCAGTTTAAACCCGTTAGATACCTTGCTGGTCTTGAAAATCTTTCTGTCCTCATTTCTTCTCAAAAAGAGATGAAAGACCACTACTTTCCTATATACAGTGAGAGAAGCAACTCTGCCCTTCATTGAGCTGTTTCCTTTAGTTTATTTATTTGCTTTTCTTTCCCAACAGCTCTGGTTTACACACAAGTGACAGTGTTACAAAAACAGGACCTGGGGGCCTTCCAGACATGAGACAAGTGCCAACTGTTGTGATCGAATGCGATGACAATAAAGAAAATGTGCCTCATGAAAATGACTATGAAGATTCTTCCTGCCTTTATCCAAGGCAGGAAGAGGAAGAAGAGGAAGATGAAGAGGAGGATAACTCATTATTTACAAGTAAGACTCATTCCGTTTTTCCTTTCTCACTTATTTAATTTTTACTCTGAACTCACAATAAATACACAGTGGAAACACAAGGCCTGTGTATTTTCTTTCTTTGCTGTGGCTTTTTCATCTCTCAGGGCTTGACTACATGGGGATGCTAATCCAAAATAACAAACAATATAAATTTATACTGATTTCACTAATATTTATGAATCTCTGTCTCAGTCGTGCTCAGACTAAATTCAAATGACAGGTTTGGGCTTATATTGGCTCAGTTACAAACTGGCTTTTGGATTTGCTTTCCCAAATGCTCTTTGTGAAGAGAAGCCCTGCCTTTGGCTTAAGTAAGGATCATCCCAGTAGTTGCTTCAGGAGGATGAAATAACTGCCACACATAGAGAATCAGAGCTTTTATATATAGTCAGTTTTAAATCATTTTGGAATCATAAATGTGCACATGCTTTGAAAGGGTCACAATCAGAGGATTGAGCTGTGATAAGAAGAGGTTAATCAATAGCCATATCACAATTAGACTGAGAAAGGACCTGTGGCCTTCCTGACCTCTGTAAGGAAACCCAATTCCTGCTTCAGTGCGGCATCGTAGGACTGTGCCATGAAGAAAAGATACAGTGCTTTGTGTATGACAACTGCTTGTCATCCTAGACATTAGAAGTTCCAGGCCCTTGCCTTTCTTTTCTTCTGAAAACTGGAAGCAGTACAATCAAACAACATCCCTTTTAAAACGCACAGAAAGAAGATTCTAAAACAGGCATATTTCATCTCCTCAGCACCCCACCTTGCCCTGCAAGTGAAATTAAGCAGTGTTTGCTCTTATGCTAAAAACAGAACAGAACTGCACTCTCTCACACTCTTGACAAACTCTCATGTGTTCGTGTCTGTCTTCCTTGTTCAAACTGCTTTGGACACAAGCCTAAGAAAGCAAATTTGAGCCATAAGAGGCCACTGGTTTTTAGTGTCTTTGCCGCTGCCACTGCCCAGGAAGCAGTCAATGTGCAAAAAGATATGTGCTGCTTCTGATTGACTCCTGATTCCTTCTAGTGCTGGCTTGGATGTCTTGATATTACATTGCAAGAGACATTCAGGTACCCCTTTCTTTTCACATGCTGTAGCTCTGCTGCCTGCCCAGATTCTGAGGTTGAATTTTTCATCCTATTATGTGGAAATACTATGGTAGAAAAAGCTACAGATGCTACTAGCAATTCTGAAACAAGCCCTTCTTCTCCATTCCCCTCTATGGAGCAATATATTAATTTCTATTTCCTCTATATCTACCAATTTCAGCTTTTCCTTATTATGATAGGAATTCAGATTAACTCAATGAGCACATACAGTTAATGACACCCCTTTTCCCATGGTCCATACCAGTGTAAAGGAGAACCTCATATCCTCCCTTGGCTAGTACTTCTTTGCCAGGTGCATGCTGTAATGAAATGATGACACCTCTTTTGGCAGAACCTCTCCTCTCTCCTACAGGCCCCCTGGCAAGGAAACTCTGCAGGAAGGACTCTTTAGCAATCAAACTGAGCAACAGGCCTTCCAAGCGAGAGCTGGAGGAAAAGAACATCCTCCCCATGCAGACTGATGAAGAGAGGCTTGAACTTAGGCAGCAGATTGGGACAAAGCTAACAAGGTAAGAGAAAAACATTTTTTAACTCTTGCTTTTGGAATTATATGGTGGGATGTAGTTTTTTTCCTTAGTCTTTAAATATTTGAGATGTGTTTGGTTACAATGTTCAAGAGCAAAAGCCATGGAGAGGCAAAATGGCTCTATACATTATTTCTGGTCCAATAAAGCTTCCCATATAACTCCCCGTTTCATTTTCCTGGCATGGGCTATGGGAACTTTGGTTAATTATCAGATGAGCTACATGAATTTGGTTCTTGTTGGCACATAATTTGAAAATGTTCAGCTTTGAAAACGTTTCAGACTGTAGCTGTAGGTGCCTTTTTATGAGCTATTTGTTCGGCCAAAGGTCAGAGGTATAACTTTCTCTTCTGATTGCATCTCCTGTGAGTAACTGAGATTTTTGCTGGTGCAAAATAGGTTAAGTCCTTCAGTACTTGCCTTCATTGGGTCAGGTTGGACACATTTACCCTGTCTAGACACCTTCTTCTTCATAACAGTGTTACTCACCAGCTGTTCTGGTTTTCTGTATTGAATGGGCTGTAAAGGGCCATTAAATGTGGAGGATTTCTGACAAGAATGAGTAAACTGAGGTCAGACAGAACTGTTTAAGAACCTTCTATGTGCATGCCATGATTTCTGTAATCAAAATTGAATCCTCTTATGTTATCAACTTGGTGGTACTCAGAGCTGGTAAATGCTGTTAGTTGCCCTCCAGTGAGAAAACCACAAGGAGATAACCAGCCAGTTGTTGGGAATTTTCTTGCACATTTTAATTGTTTTTTTATGAAAATGAAAATTTCAGGGAAAATTTTCAGGGGAAACACTGCTACCATGTTTTGGAGACAGGAAAAATAGGAGCTCCTGGTAAATACCACTTTCAGCATTTTATTTAATTTTCTTTCATGGCCTTGTTTATCACCTCCTTGGAATAAACTAACCTCACCTTTCCAAACTGTCTTTGAAAATTTTTGTACTGAGTCATGCTCAGCCTCCTCCAAAACCTGTCCAATTTTTCTGTATTCTTGTTGAGAGGCTTCAGCAAACATGCCCAAGATATGTAAGATGGTGCTGCTCTGTTGCTGGTACTGTGATTTTTTTCAGTTCAGTCTTTATTCAGCTTTATTCCAACCTTGTTAGACTGTAGCTGCACTGGAGCTCTGGGTCCCAAAGATCAGCACAGGACAGCAAGGTCCCAGTGATTATATGATTCAATTTGAACCCTTTTGAAGCATCTGAAGAATTTTTGTCTCTCACTGTTTGACCTTGCAATGACATTGAACACCATTTCCACTGTGTTGTCCATTTGCCAGAATTACTTAGGTCCTTCTGAAGTTTTCCAGCTATGCCTGATGAAGGAAAATAGTGTCATTTACAAACACTGGTTCTTCACAGCTCACTGTGCACCAGATCTTTTTCATTATAAGTATTTTATGTTTCACCTTTGCAAAACCTGCTTTTTTCCTTGCTAAACAGTATTTTTTTCAGCAAATGCCTTTTTAACAAAGGAAACTATTTTTGGCCATATGCAAAGCCCTTCCTGTGTAAGCCACATATTCTCATAATGTTGTCTTTTGTTTCCCCAATTGTATCTCTGCTCTGAGATATCTCTAAATCTGAGTTTAATAGCTTGAGCTATAATGCCTGATCTTGTCTTCTAGTATAGCTAGGACTTAGGGGCAATCACAAATCGTTCAAATAACTAAAACTGTGTATATATGAGTTCAAAAAATAGCTGAGCTGAATGAAACTGCTGTTTCATTCTGCTTTATATCAGTGTAACATCACTGAAAATGGTAGAATTTCACTAGCCTTAACTAGAGTGACATAGTTGCCAGTCTGACCTTTTAATTACTACTATTTACAACTTAGTATCTCATCCTTTTGAGTAGTTGAAAAAAATAAAGAAATATGAGGAGGGAACTATTTTGCTCATATCTAATATGTAAGAAACTACAGGCATTTCAGCAGCAAAAATGAAAGGTGGTTGTCTTACCAGTGCTCTATATCTAAATGTGATAGATCCATGTGCACAAACTGATGAATATTAGACTAAAATAGACGGAATATTTCAATTTGGACAGTATTTCCTTACTAACCAGACTTTATTACTGAATTCATCCTTTCTGTTGCTTGGTAATTGTCACACAGTGATGCAAATGCCAAGCAAAATTAAAGTAGTGAAGCATTTATAGTCCTTAGAGAAGATGCTAGATGCAGACTATAATTGCAGCTGGCAGTTTTGGATTTCAGAGGGATTTGTACTGCTCCACCAATGGTCCCCTAGGGTTTAAAATATCCAGCCAATCAAATCACATATGCTACTTACAGAAGTAAAAAATGCAGAATAAAAACTTCAGCATATAGTTATTGTCTGTAATGGATCAATTAATTTTCACCAAGAGGCTGATTAGGGTACTTCAGTATTTATGCATAATCCTCACAGTATTTAGTTTGGAAGAGCTCATTGGCTGCCACATTTGGCAGATCAGAATTTAGTACTATAAAGAGAATGTCTTTTTCCAAGATGCCTCTACCCAGGCATATTGAGATTGGCCATTGACATATTGTGTGGGACCAAAATCATCCCAGGTGCAGTTCCTCCAGCCTTATTAGAGTTGCACCAGGAATCAGTTTGGCTCTGGAAGGTCTGTTCACATCGTGTTTAAATGTAACTTGGAACTTCTGAACCTTCTGTTATTCCCAGAAAATTGTTATGACTTCAGTGCTACATCAGCCAACTGGAAGAGAGACTCCAGAGCAGAATTCACTGTTTTCCCATGCTGGGAGAATAGTGCCTTGAGTTACACCAGGCCAGCTGTAAGGGTGAGGCTGCAGGGACTGTATCTTATAGCAGGACCTGGCCCACTACACACCTTGTTGTTCTCTGAGCCATGAGACAAATTCTTTGTGCCTGTCATAAAACACTTTGCATGAATGTTGTGCTTCCCTGGTCTGTACCCTGTATCATGGCTCAGCACATGCAGACCCCAGCAAAAATGGGGCTTCTTACCCAAGGTGGCAAAATATGTCATAGCAAAGGCAGGAGATTCCACATGAACAGGCCAGTGCACCATAAACCATTTCTGAGGAGTCCTTACATAGCAATTATGGCAATTGATTACAGCAATTAATTAGAAGACCTCTTCCTTTAACCAGACCAGAATGGATTGCTCTAAAATGTGACATCTCTTATGAAATAAGGAGCAAAAATAGTGAATTAAGATGCAGAACTCTCAGCTCAAAACCACATGTGGCATGGGGTTAGGAAATGGATGCTGGAGACCATGTTCTTGGCTGCTAAAAACCCTTACAACTCCATTATCTTCTACTCTGAAATGCAAACCTTCTGTGCCAAGTAAATCTTTAAGTGAGTATGGTGTTCCTTTTTTTTTTTTTTTCTTTTTCTTTTTCCTGTTCAGCTCCTCCCAAACTTCTCCATTTTATCCCTCTGGTGCCTGTGCAACTTCACAGCTGCTCAAGAAGTGTGCATGTGTGACTGTAAGACAGAAAGGAGAACTCGGGAAGAAAAACAGCACTCTGGAAGTTAACAGGGAAAGGGAAGGAAAAGACAGATGTCTCTGTTCTCACTGGCTGTGTTGGACCTGCTGGGAAGCACAGTCTCCCTGTTATTCCAGTTACAGAAGCAGCCAGGAAGACTTGGATTTAGCTTTCAGTGGCTGTCAGGGTGAGAGGAATGGGATATATCCAGGCTGTGACAGTGAACTTGGAGGTTTTCCTGGGGCAGTGATAAAGGCCTGTCAGGGAGCCCTGGTGAAAAGGAGGGCCAGCACTGCTGGGTGATGGACAGCAGAACTGCACATCTCCCAGGACTGCAGGAATGTTCCCTGGTACTGAGACAGGTGCTTCAGTGCCAGTGCTTGCACTTCTCTTTCATCACAGAATCATAATGGTGATCGTAAGAGACCCCACAGACTTTCTCAATCAACACATTTAGTAAACAGAAGAGCCCTTTACAGAAACAGCAGAGTTTGCACTCTCTTGGAATGGGAAGACCTGGTTTCTTTGTATGTCTTTCACAAAGTCCCCCATGCTCTGAGACAGTGTGTGTCTTTAGAGCAACTGATCTGCCACACATTCTACAAGGGAGGCTTTCTAAGGCATTCAAGTATTTTTGAGCCTCATAACCCACCAGCTCTGGTGAACGTGCTCATTAGCAATTAGATACAAGAGTATTAAAGCTGATATTTTAGTCCACTGTTTTTCAAGAACATGATGTATTTATTTGTTTTCCCTGATTGTTTCCATCCTGGCTTCTCCCACCTGCTGGAACTGGATGATGTAATAGCACAAAATGTCTGGTAATCCAGTGTGCTATCATCATGTTGCTAATAATCAATGTCAAGGGAACTTCTTGATATTCACAGTATTATTACTGGTCAGCATAATGTCTGTCTGATCAGCACACTCCTAACCACTGTCTGGAGGCAGAGGAGACACATAAAGGCTGTCCACTGCCAGTAGTGCTTGTCAGGGACTGCTGCCCTTCACTGGAAGGTGCCACAGGCACACCAGTAAGATTTTGCAATCCAATAAGAGTTTGTGCTGTGCTGCTGCCAAAAGCTGCTGGTTGTAGTGGTATTTATCATATATTTATCATGCCCAGTGTGAAAGCAGAGAGATGAGGTGGGGGAGCAGCCTTCTGCACATTAGTTAACTAGTAAAATGAGAAACAAATGAGGAAGAAAGTAACAAACTACCTATTGCCTCTTTCCTGACTTTGGGAGATGCTCTTCCGATTGCTCGACTGAATCCTCTGTATGTCACTATATATATATATAGATATATGTTCTGCTGGCTTTAAAGCTTCTCTGCCAGATATACAGTAGTGCTCTGCATTGTTTTTTGTACAGCCCTAGATTTATTCACTACAATACCTTATGGAGTGTACTGTCCTTACACCAGCAAGTGGAAAATGGTGTTCTGAAGCAATATAAATTGTATATTGCAAGGATCATGAGGCAGTAGATCACAGAGACACTGTC